ACCTCAGAAAAGGTGCATTTTGTCAATTTTGTTTGCCCTAGCCAGGTTTAAGTTGTGTAACCGGCACTCACTTTCTGGATAGCCACTGGTCTGGCTGACCTTGGCAGCACGACAGCTGTCATATTTTCACATGGATGAACTGTTCTTGAACAACTTCTCCAATGTATCAGGAACAAACAAGCTTTTCTTCAGCATCAGGAATGCAGCAGGTCGTCTTTCCAACTATTTTTTTCTCCTTCCACAGACCTATTTATTGTGGCAATAGCAAGAAAATCCTACTGCTAAGACTTTGTGTTTGAGTTCCTTTAAATTTCCTTCAGGGAGTGACAGAAGAGCCAACCTAGATCATGTCAGAGCTTGCTTTCTTTAATTTAACTCTTCATTTATTTTTAATACACATGGGTATTAATTTGTAGTGGCAAGAAAAGTAGGAAGGCAAAATCCTTTTGCATCTTTATTGCTAGTATTTCTTTTTGTGCTGTGTATTTATTTAATTTAAATCGCTGTGATAGTTAGCAGTGACAAAGAGCAGGATGCTGCTGAGGAGGGTATCGCACAGACCCAAAGGTTTTGCAGTGTGATGGCCAAGATGGCCAGCGATGAATGGCAGGGAGTATTTTGTACAAGAGGAGTGACCTCCAGCTGGTAGCGTGCTCGCTAGGTTCTTCAGCTGAACGAGGGGAATCAGAGGATGGAAGGAGCAGGAGCGAGGAGGGAGCCGGTGGCAGAAGGTCGAAGAGCAGAGTGGGAAGGCAGCGGGGGCAACCAGGGAGCTCAGACGGGGCTGGGGTAAGAGTCCCTCGCTAGCAGAGAGGAGAGGGTAATGGTGAGAGCACAGTCCTGCCGACACCAAAATCTTTTTGGGGATGCAGCAGTTTTGTTAGAAATAAAAATCTTCATCTCCAAAAAGGAATTTTCTATCAAGCTCTGAGAAAAGGAGAGAACGCTCCCAGAAGAGCCGATAACCCGTTTGTTAGAGCTTCTGCCTGGGAGACAGAAGTTCGTGTTAATTTGGGGCCTGATTCAGACTGAAGGCTTGTATTTAACTGAAGGTTGTATTTCTACATTGGTCCTTGCAGTTACTTAGAGATTTGTAGTAGTACAGTGGCATGGATTAACTGCTCAGCAGCTTTGCTCCTTGAGTAGTTTTTGCAGCCTGCACTGAGCTGCATCTTAGCACACCTAAACATAATCTAAAATTAACTGGTTTTCTCCAAAACTGCACTCCTATACCCTCCCACCATGTCTCTGTGGGATAAGGGGTGAAGCATGGAGTCCTTTGATTTAATAGCAGTGTAAGTCAGTAAATCCAAGTGCTTTGTAAAAGTTTGCATGTTTCTGGACCTGAGCTGACTCGCATGGAGCTGGCTTGTGTTTCTCTGCTCCATATGCACAAATGCTCTTCACACCAGGGATGTTAGTAGTCGGGAAGGGAGTCAGAAAATATGTTTTGTTTGATTCATGCAAAAAAATAAACCTTCAATGGTAGCAATAAGGATAATTGATGACTGAGTGTTGTGTGGCAGAAGAGCTGGCGTTCAGCGATCACATAAGTTTGGAGAGAGAGTTAAAGCTGAAGATTTTATTGACACTCCTGTGTTTTGCACATTTTTTTCATCTTGGGAATGAATTTCAGACCCCAGTGGTTAGTATTAATGCTATATATCCTCTGTGGTTAGTATTAATGCTATACAGCCCTGCCAAATGTGGAGAAAGTTAGAACTGAAAAAAAATAACCCACTGTGAAGAAGTTAGATGCAAACAAACGGGGATGGAGGTTTATGCTTACAAAGAGCTCAGCTCTGTTGGCACTTCTCCTGGACCAGTCCTGTCAATCTAAATCTGAAATATTTGCAGAGTGAAGTGTTGCTAATGAGCAAGGCTGGCAGGACCGGGACTCGAGGTGAAGAAGGCACCTGAACAAGCGGTTTAAAGCAGGAACCGAGAGACCGGGCTGAACCCCGTGAATCAAACTGCTCCACTCTACCCTTGTCTTAATCGGTTCGCCTCCGCCTTCCTGCCAGAGCGGGGGGAGGCCGTCAGCCGGCGCGTGCCATGCCCGCTCGGGAGCCGCTCGGCTCTTGCCTCGATGAGCCTGGGATGCTTTCGCGTAGCCAGGGGGACTCCAGCTCTGGTGTGTTCCAAACCAGAGTGCAGCCTATAGTTTGTTTTGTCTTTCAGTGGAATAAAAATACGTCGCTTGGCAGAATGTGTTCTGTAAACAGGCGACTTTTTACTTAAAATGCAGTGAGCGAACTTGGCTGTGTAAGCTTGGGGTCTTGAAAGTTCCTCTGAAAATGCTGTTATTTTTTTAAGTTAATTTTTTTTCTGGAGTGGATTTAATTCAAAGGAAGTTTTGTTTGCTTGCTTGCTTGCTTGCCTGAGGTTTTTTGGTAGGGTTAAATAGATGAGCTTCATTTCTTCTGCAGTTTATTTTTGGTGAAACTTCTGTAGAATTTGGGGGAGATAGCCCAGTGCAAATGGACTTAGACTTTGAAACTTTGGGTTAGAGTTTGCAGACCCCAAAAGCCAACTCTTGTATTTCATATAATTTTCCAAGCCTTTGAGCTGACATGAGCTCAGACTTTGTAAGGGAAGGGAAGGTGCAGTGTTTCTCCGGAGAGCTTCACGAAGAGCTTTCCATCTCTTTTGGGGCCTTTGAGTCAACCCGCCAACCCCCATTGCCCAGCGCTCATCCGTGCTGTGCAAAGCCAGACCGGGAAGGCGCTTCTCATGTTTGCATGGCTGACGCTGCCTTTTAGTGCAGATATTTTTAACTATTCCACGTCCCAGCTCCGCTCGGGGCCGAGGTCTTGCTCCAGGGCTGCGGCAGACCGGGCGGGCAGCTGCTGGGCTCAGCGCTTGGCGAAGCCGCCAAAAATCCCCCGGCAAACCCAGGGCAGCGCCGGCTTCTCCCCAAAGAGTAAGTGGCTCTGAGAGGTTTTGCCACATAAGGGCCTGTTCGAGGCTGCAGGCACCAGCTGACAGGGATGTCTTTGCCTCCCAACAGATGGCTGGGCATTTTATTTCAGCAAGCAATCTCGCGCGGAGGGGTGGTCTCCAGATCCTGCCAGCATTTCGCATGACAAGGCCAGCTTAGGGCAAGAGGGATCTGATGTCCGTGCCCTTCATAGCTCATGAGCTAAATGACGAGCTGTTGACAGGAAAGCCATCATCTGAAGTGTAAGATCCTGAACTCTCCCCGCTTTTCGTTTTTCTTTGGTGGAATTAATGCCCTATTTGCTTGTCTCTCAAAATCCATTCTGGCACGAGTACAAACCCTCGCCTGGTGGCAAGCAGTTGTCTGGATTCGAGATGCCAAGATTTGTGCTGACAGCTCCTTCTACACAATCTGAGTCAGGCTGTCACAGCTGGCCATTAGAGGCTTAAAAAGACACACACATGTACAACACATAGCACCAACTTCCCGCTATTGAATATCAGAACCTGCTTGATGAGAAAACGTAATGGCTTACACTGCTCTTTAGTTTAGTGTAAACAAACACACTGTCTCTAAATCCCTGTTCAAGTGCGACGGCTGTTTATTTTATGTTGATTGCTTGCTCTTATTCAGGAGCACAGGTCTAGAAGGGACTTCCTGGGTCAGGAGATCCAGTCCTTGATAATCCCAGGCATCGCGTCTTATAATCCTCTTCATTACCTTGCTTTTCTGTAATGAAAACAGCCCCTTGTAGTTTCAACTTGTCCTTGTAGCCGTTTGCCTAGTATGATTTTCTTGGCATGGAGGAGCAAGCACCAAACCTTGCCTTGTTGAGGGGTGGCATCACAACTAGAGGAGGGCAAAGAAGGCCGCGCATCAAAGAGGGATTTTCTGAAACTGTTTACCCTGCAATTTTGCCTTTCTTGGTGTCAGTGTGTGCAAATTCTGCTGACCTAGCATTCAGTTTGGGTGCTAAAAGATGGATGCTTGCAAGTGAACTTTCTGATTTAAAGTAAAACAGGATCAAACAATTCCCCACCCCGCTTTTGTATATGGAAACAGGTCAGATTAGCTTCTGCTTAGTCAACTGATGGCTACTGCAAGTGTAATGCTGCTCTGTCTGGTTGTGCTGGGTTTTAAACTTGCTGTAGGATTAAATTTTGCATGGTTGAGCTTTAGTAGACCTTAGTCTGTAGTTTATTTTGGACAAAAGGTTGCTAAACTTCGGCTCTCGGGGAGGAAGCCTGGAATCTGAGACCCACTATTATTCATTGACTTGTCTTTATGAGTTTACAGTCCACTGATGCATAACACTGAAGGAAATATTTTTGGTGAAATGTTTGCTTTTTTCTTTGGCTTTGTAAAATGCAATGTCTTTTCTGGGAGATATATGTCAGGGTCATATAGCTACTTCAGTGAACTGTGTATGGTCAGGAAATAGACTGCATTGAAAATATTTCATTTTTTTGTGAATTCAGTCTTTTAACCAAGACTTCCCCCCTTCTCCTCTCAGGGTTTTGGGTCTCCCACTAACCACTATTTGAGCATTAATTTTATGCACAAACTGGGTTTAATTGTGGAAGGGAGATTTCAACTGTATGGAACATTTTCAGTATTTTTATATTAAATCAAAATTTGCACGCCACAGCGTACTTGTAAAACAAACCCCTTTTTATACATCAGGGAGTTTTCTTGGCTGGCATTTTTCTGTCCTCTTTTTGCTGTGCTGAAATATGTGTCTCTTACTTCCTGGCTGCTGTGGATGGCACGGCGAGGCTGGCCATTCAGCGTGATAGAGGGACTGACTCTGCAGACTTTAATGGATCTGACACAACAGATCTATTAATTTAATGCTTAAATGCTTAGGACATGCTTACACATTTTGCTGGATTGGGGCCCGTGCAAGCTCTGCTCCCTCTTTGGATGGTCAGTGGGATGATTTGTCTGAGTTGGGAATACTAACGTAAATAAGGCTTTGTTGGACCAAATGTGCAGACGTTACATAGTACTACTACGCACTGTTTATAAGACGTTAATGTCTGTTTCTCTTTCTCTGCAGGTTCTTCTTGAAATTTTTCCTCAAATGTAACCAAAATTGCCTAAAAAATGCAGGAAACCCTCGAGATATGCGTCGATTCCAGGTCAGTTGGACACGCTTCCTCCGTTAAAAATCAGCAGCTGTTAGGGACAGAAGTACTTTGACCCAAGCTAACCTAGTAATTCACTGGAAGATGCTAAAAACATAAGGTCACAGAATATTGCCTGAGGACTTCTTATCACAGCAGAATTGGCAGGAAGTAGTTGGGTTTTCTTGCTCTGGACAAGAGAACTCTTGAAGATAATGTCATCTCCATGGGAAGTGAGAGCATGAAAAGGAAAAATCAAAATGACCTCACTGTTGTTTTAGGTTATGGGGCTACCCGGCTCCAAGATATTCCCTTCTGCCTGGGGAGCTATTTGCTTTCATGTAAACACGAAGTGAGCACCATGTTTATTGGAAGGGGCAGAGGGGGGTATAAGAGCAATTAATAAAAGCAGGCTCATGGCTACCTTTCAGCAGTTATTCTTCAGCAGTGGTAAAGACTCATAAATGTGCATCAGTGGGATGAAGGTCCACCCCTGTAGTCAGCACCTGGAAAAAACTACCATTGGGTGTATCCTTCTTGGGATGTTTTGGGCTGGTATTTCTCCGCTGTTGCAGCATGTGGCAATGGGGCTTGGGAACTGTAGCATCAACACAGCTTCAGATGGCCAAGGACTTTTTTTTTTATGCTACACCTACATCCACAAGTACCTTTGGGATTAAGTACAGCCCTGTCCCTTGGGAAGATGGTCTGCACGTGCCTTCCCCAGTGCTGGCAGCAGAGTGGCGTGGTGGCAATGCTGAGAAATAGTTGCTCCAGCCCCTTTATTGAAGATGTGGTCCTTTGACTGTGCCAATAATGCTTTACCTGAGTATGTGCTGAATAAAAATATGGGGTAGAGAGCCAAAGGACCTTCTCTTTTGATGGGAGGAGTGTATTTGGCCCAGGGAGAAAACATGATGGAATCTGTCAGTGGGCATTTGCCTCTAGGTTCTGAGGAAGAAATAGGAGATTTGTCCCATAGACTACATGGGTCTCTGGAGGAAAACAGCTCCAAAAGACCGCTGCTTTCTGCAGTAGCTCAGGACCTTGTTTGCTTCTTTTCCAGCATTGTTGCACTTAAATAAAAGTGCTAAATGCTATGTAAATGGAAATTTTATTTATATGTAGAACATATGTCTTTTGTTGAACTGCTTAATTGCAACAATGCTGGAAGGCGGCAGAAGGGTGTTATTTGCCCCTCTGAGCGTAGAAGTGCAGAAGTGAGGAGATGTGGCCACAGGGATTAAATTAATCAGTATAAAAGCTAGCATTAGCATGGCAGAGCCCTCGGCTCCTCACCCCAGACTCCTCCTGCCGTCACGTTTCTCCTGTGATTCAAGAGGGCATTATCACTGAAGGAGAAAGTGGAAAAAGGACTCTCACCAGCACAGGGATTTAGGCCAAGCAGTCACCCCTGGGGCCTGTCAGAGCTTGCTTCACGACATGTACACTCTGCTGGGTTTGTGCTCATCCAGGCTCGAGGCTGATTTTCATATGGTAATGCCTTTGCGTGTTCTCTCAGAACAGCAATCAGGAGCCTGTGTCGGTGAGTAGGTAGGACATAGGAAAGGTTGTTGATCTCTTGACTTGTAAAGACATTCTGTCATACAAACCCAGCTTCACAGCAGTTGAGCTTTCCACGTGTAAACAGAGACTGCTTAATTACACAGGTCATGTCAATTAGTGTGACCTTAGCATTTTCAAGAAATTAATCACTTTCAGCCGAGCGAACCGCTCATACTATAATACAGGGTGATACTGAAGCTTGCAGCATTCTGTTAAGTGCCCAGGCTTATTGTTTTACAATAGCTGCTTTTGTTTCTTTTCTTTTCTTTTTGTTTTAATTTTGAACTTGTTGCTCTTTTAGCAATAGACTTCTTAAAACAGCCGGACTCTGCAGAGTCCAGGCTTCATTTATCATTTCTTAGGGTGAAAAGGACCAAGCGTACACATAGTTTCTTAATGATATGATGCACCTAGATGTTTGAGACAACATCGTATAGGAACCAAATGAAATCTGGGCCTCTGTGAAGTCACTGGCGGGTTTGCTATCAGCTACCTTGAAATATTGCCAGTGACTTACAAGGTCTCTAATAGTTATGTCAAAGTTCTGGTTAAAAACCATGAGAGAAAGGTATTTCCAGATGCTTTTAAAATAGTAGCATACTCTTTTTACACACACAAAAAAATAGAGACTTTCCCTTCCTTTACTTCATTCCCCAATCTGTGCTGGACTGTTAAGCTGCCCAGAGATTTGTCCATCTTTTGGCTGTGATCTCTCATACATCAGTCCCCAAAAGTTGCTAGGAGTTATTAGAATGCAGATTATGGTTTTTGGTGGGAGAAACAGTGAAGGGCCAGGGACACAAGTCTCGCACTATCTCAGGTCCGGCCCTGTGGAAAATTTCCTTTCTTAGTAGTTTTTGGGTTTTTTTTACTGCAGCAGGGAATTGTCTGATTATTATATGGTATAAGAGATGTTAAGAAAGTACAGGGAGGAGGCAGAGTATGTGTGGATTCAGGTGACCTGTGTGTGAAACTTCATTCAGACTCACATATAGAAATGAATTAGGAAGTTTTATCCTGAACTTTGTGTGGAAGTGTAGTAGTGGGATAAGCCTAACATAAAAGCAGTTGTGGGCCTGGAAGGAAATATATTTCTCTGCATGTCTGAGATGTCCAGGCATGTGACAACTGGAGTGGTGTCAAGTGCCAGCAAAAGCGTGTGCCAGAGCAGCGCTGGCCCTGGCTGTGTTAGTTGTGTCTCTATTAGCAGAAGGAGACAGAGAGGAGAAGTCAAGTACTATGCAGGGACTCAAGACAGTTGAGTGTTCAACTGTGCTACAGACTCCCTGCTTGTCCTTAAGAAAATCATTTCATCTCTGTGTGTTTCATCAGCCCAATTGCACACAACATTTGGTGAGATCACATATTGTCACCTTTGTCCAGCCTCGCCTTTTTATATTTCAGAAACCCCATGGAGCAGATGTGCCGTCTGGTATTGCATTCTTCATCACAATAAGTCATCAGTCTTGGTGGGACGGGCTGTACTGCCCCAATTAGTGGTAATACTAATAACACTAAGTAGATGGTATCATGAGTGAACTCTGCTCAGATTTTCTTTTTCAGCACTAAAAACTCATTCATACAACCTAAACAGTTTTGTATGTTATTGTAATTAATGAAACCCAGGTGCCCTAGTTATCTTGTTGTTCTTGTTTTAGCAGAACTGCTTGCAAACTGACACATGTCAAGTTTTAATTTAGAGGAAACTTTTCAGACTGAGTCACTGCATAAAATCCCAAACATTCGTTTATTATGAAAACCTTGAAACTCACTTAGAAATTGCCGTGCTGTTTGATTCTGTTACCACAACCTCTTCCTCGGCTAGGCTGCTAGTTTGCCTCCATGGGACGCTGCCACTCATGTTTGAATTGAAGCCACTTGTGTCTTATTGCAAATTTGCATAAGAGACAGAGATGATGCCTCATGAATCCCAGATAATGGAATTTGGACATGCAAGGCTCCATCCCCAGAGAAGGCAAAAAAAAAAAAAAAAAAAAAGCTGAAAATAGCAGTGAGAGCTGTGGCCCAATTCAACAAGGTAATTAAGCGCCCGGCCTGTCCTTGAGCATGTGAGCAAAATCACTGAATGTGTTGTACTTATGGGCTTTAAGTTAGGCACCTTTTTAAGTGTCCTGTTAAATCAAGAGTGATTTTTAGTTACCAGACTAAAGAAGTCAACACGTTGTAGGAAGAGGTCACCAAGTGGTGATGAAAATAAAGATGTTGCTCAAGTCATTCCTGCGTAGCTTTCAAAGAGCAGCAAACACAGGAGTTACAGGTTTAACACACTAATGACACACTTCAAACCTGGAAATCATCTTAATCAGATTTTCTCTGCCTTTGCCACTGAATGTTGGGGACATCACAAAAATATCAGATCCCTCACCATACATCGGAGAAAATTAAAAGCACAAGGAACATGCTATGTCTTAATCAGTTAGCAAAGCTTAATGGGCTGTGGTTAAAAATGAGGAGTCATGCAATGCTTAATTTTGATATATTAGGTGAGGTACTATAACAAATAAACAGGCCAAGTGCTAAACGTGGATAAATAGCTTGATCTCCAGGCTCCTGGTCTCTGAATATATATATATATATTTTTTTTTTAACTAAGCTCCAAAGAATTCGCAAGCTGAACTATTTAGTGGCAGGCAGAATAATTCACAGAGCCATGATATGTTAATGCAGTTGATAGTGCCAACTTCATTGAAGAAAGTTGTAAACTGATGTGTTTCTTTCATAGCTCTGTCTCCCCTGGTGTTGATACAGGATTTAAATTCAAAATCTATGAAGGGCTAAAGCTAAAGCTCAAAATCATTTTCCATGTTTGCCTGTCCCAAATTAAAACTGTGTTTTGTTGACAAAATTTGGAAAGGTTTGAGATTTGGCAGGCCTGGTTGTCCCTGTGCTTACATTAATGTGTCAGCACCTCATTAATCATTTATTAAACTGTAGTGTGCCTTTCCCTCTTGCCATGGTCTGTGTTTTAGGATGCCTCCGTGCCCGTTCCACATATACTTTGGCTCTCCCCTCCCCCTAATTTTATGATTTCTCCACAAATTAGTTTTAGCGTGTGCTTTAACTTGAACATATCCCAGTTGTTTCAAAATCAAAATGAGGAGAGTGTAGTATTTTTTTAGATTAAAAAATATGAGTAGAACTTGTAAGTAAGTAACTAAGTGCTCTGTAGCGATCCAAGTCTGTAACTGTGGCACACAATGTTCAAAGTGCATTTTTCCTCTGTTAATAATTAGGGGCATTAATATTTTGTTAGTGCAGTGAATGTTCAATATTCCTGTATTAATGAGGTTTTGCATTTAAAGAATTAAGGGGTAAGCATGTGCTGCTTCTTACAGGTGCACTGTGAATAATCATTTTTTTCATACAGATACATAAAGTAACCACTTTTTTTTTCTGCATTTCCTGAGACTGGAAACAGTTTCTCTTGGGGATTCCTTTTATAGTTTCTTCTGCTAACGACACTGAAGAACCACACCAATGTGGTCTCTTTGTAGTAAATCAAACTCTCTGTTCAGGAGGTAGGTAGGAAGACACTGTTAAGTAATTCAAAATATGGTGCATCAACAGTTTCAGAAACGCGAGGGGGGGAAATTAAATGTAGATTTACTTACATAAAACTGACCTCACTAGGATTGTTTCCTTGAGTTCTTCCCTAGAAAGGTGTGTGTATAAAGGCAGATACTTATATTTACTTTTTTCACAGGTTTGAGACCTAACTTGCTATTTTTACTCTTGACCTGTTATTTTTCTGGAATCCCATTTCTAGAAATGTTCAAAAGTTTGGGTTTCAGCACAGGATTGACCAGCTTCAGTGGGAAATCTGTGTGTACCTATATGCTTTTAGGACTGGGGAAAATATTTTATGTTGTAGCCATTGTTATTAATTGTAATAGTGTTAATTTTCATATGCATCTAAGCAGACCCGTAGAAAAAGAGAAGGAGCTGGTGTAAATCATGGAGCTGTGACAGGCAATGCCAGCTAAGGATTTGGCTCAAAATCCCAGTTGCAAAGAATTTACAGTGGTTGCAAGTGCACAAATAAGATTGCAAACCCTGAGCCACTTACTATAAGATCATATTTTATTGAAAATATCATAAACTTTATTCTATCCCTCAGGAATGCAATGGATAAATTACTTTTTGAAATCCCTTTTGGAATTTTATATATAGGGCTTGGGGTTTTTTTCCCCTTAGTTTGATTTCAGAAAAACTTACCTACAGTGTTTGGTGCTTTCTTTTTCCCAAATTTCCATCTGTAAGAGCTCTTGAATCATTTATTCTGTATTTTTAATATCTTTCACTTAAAACATGCACAGAAATCTATTGCCTGGAATGCCATTCTGAGGGACAGTTTTAGGATCCTTTAGATGTAAACTATTCTCTTTTATATTCCTCTTTTTAAAGACAAAGACTTTGGGATTAGCTACGGGGAATTTAGCAGTGTTGCTTACTTTATATTTTTGAGCATTTTAATCGGTGGTCAGAAATAGGTGGAATTTTTTTTTTTTACTTTTTTTTAGATCCAATTCAAGTGATGAAATTGAATTGTTGTAAGCGATCCTTTAAGTGTCCCCATTTGACCAACTTTGAGAGGCAGCAGCTTCCTGAGAGAGTTGAAGCAATGTTTGCCAATCCTTGTAAAGCATTTCACCTCTTCAGAGGCTAAAGCCTCTCAAAACCAAGAACAATTAAAGCGAGAGCCTTTCAGAGTGACTGGGGAATTCAGCAAAATAAATCAGAAATCCTCTGCCGTGGCTCTGGAGGCTTGCCTCATTATAAGAGCAGATCTATTAGCCCCCTTGCCATTGTCTTTCATTTCTCAAGTGAGGTGATTCTAATTAAATTAATCTGCATGTCAATCTATCGGTGATCAATCAAAAGGGCTGAGGTCCCCCTTTGCGGCAGTGTGCTTGCGGCTGACAGGGGCTGATAATGGAGGAAGAAATAAACTGTCGAGCAAAGTTAATTAGTCAACATAATAGGTGGATTAAACAGGAGCTGCTGATTGCTGTTTCACATGTCGAAGCATGAGGTGGGAGCTGAAACTGCAATTAACAGACAATTATTATATTTGGTTGTAAGAGGTCGCATGAATAAACATATCTCTGTGGGTTTCAGTTTTTAATCCCTTTCCCTGTTTAATGTAAGGAGAAGTGTAGGTCATTTCTTCTTATTGTTTTAGTCGAAGTTCTCGAAGGCGACGCATGCTCCTGGCAAACCAGCAGCCAGCTGAAGGCCAAATCTTTGGCTGGGGTAAAACCCTGGGAATGCCGTACTTTGTTGGGAAAAGGCTGTGGGAGGAGAAGGCTGAATGAAAGCCAGGGAGGCTATGAGATCGCTTGGTCTGAATGGGGTGGGAGGAGACCCGGTGTCGTGAGCTCCAGGCTCTGCCAGGGACTCGCCCTGTGCATCCCCCCCGCTTTCCTCCACCAAGGTTTGTGGCTCAGGTGCCCTCAGCCTGAACAGGGATTTCCTATAGGGTGGTGCCTGCTGTGCCTCAAGGTTGAGAGGTCCCTCTGGACACCTCTGAACAGTTGGGTCTTCTAGTCTGGACCCAACACTTACCCATTTGCCCCTGCTGGGTTGGCTCCTCTCCAGCCCCGGGCTGCTCTGGGGAGCAGAAGTGTCGGATCCTGCCTCCAGGGCAGTGCTCCTCTGTCTCCCTCCCCTCGCCTCAAACCGAATCCCAGGTGTTGACATTGAGATAAGTTGAGAAATACAAATAATTCTAACGCTGGATGAATAGGGTTGTGTTCTCCAGATCAAGACCCCACTGTCAAGTGTGTGTGTGTGTACACAAACATACCTATACATACTCCCTGAGATAGAGCTCGGGAGAAATCTGGGCAAGTTCAACAACCTGTAGTGGCTGTACTGAGGGGAGAGCAGTAGAGAAGGGTGGGGGAAGGCATGCAACAACTCTCATTGCAACTTCACAAAATACACTTTTGTTTTCTTTTATTCTGAATCGATTCTCATTTGCAATGTCAACAGCTCTATCTACTTCAGCATGGAAACTGAAGGATAATTTAGGGTGAAACACAGCTGCCCTTGTATATAGGGGAAAAAATACTTAATAAAGATCTTCTTGTTGAAATGATGGTTAACAGTGTGCCGTCTGCCATGCAGCTACAAACTCTGCAATTTAACTTAAAACTGCATCAAAAGCTTGTGATGCCAAAGACCCACTCATCAATAGCGTCTCTTGTTAGATTTGTACAGCATAAGCACCAGTTATTATGCGAAATAGCTATGCAATTTTCTACAGCTCCCAGCTGTTATTTATTTAACTGAGTTTATTACACTCTGTGCTTCTTAAAAAACATACGTATACATCCAAATTTTCCTCCATTTTGCTCTTGTGCTTGCAGGTTGTGGTGTCTACAACAGTCAATGTTGATGGCCATGTGTTGGCAGTGTCGGACAATATGTTTGTGCACAACAATTCCAAGCATGGGCGGAGAGCTCGAAGACTCGATCCCTCGGAAGGTACGCCTTCTTATCTGGAACATGGTAGGCATATCATTTTCATTGGTTGGCATTGCTACTTTAAATGTGGATTTATTTGGTTTGTGCCTCTGGCTACTGATTTCAAATTGTCCTGTAACAGTTTATACCTTTGGGACCGGATATTTTAAAGAGACTGGCCTCCGGACCAAAGGGGGAATTTTTCAAGTAGGTCAGCACTGAATGTAGTGAAATGACAAACCAGTAGGCAAACACGGGTGCAGAGTCTGTCCTGTGTGTGCGTGCGGAGTCTGTCCTGTGTGTCAGTGAAGTGTGATTTTTTTTTTTTTTTTGGTTGGTTGCATCTATTCAGCACCCAAAGTTGGAGTCTGATCTTTTCCAAATTGCCTTGGTTTTTGACTGTGCATCTAAAGGATGTTGCATATTTTCTGAAGTGCTCAGCACCCAAATTTCGGATTGGATTTCTTCTATCTGTAGAGTGCTGAGCTCTCTAGGAGATTCAGCTGTTCCTTTGAATTGCCCTAAATGAAAGCAGACCCCTTTTGGAAATCCATCTGCTTACTCAAGCCACGGACGAATGTTCTCTTCTGGCTCCAGCTGTGCCAGCTGAGGAAGCTGCTCTTCCCTGCGTGCCACAGCTGCTTGTCTCTCCTCCCTGCTGCAGGCTATTCTCCACCATGGACATGCCAGCTAAGATGGTTATCTGATTGCTCCCTAGTCTCCTTCAGTCTGAAGACGTTAATTTGAGTTAAACCGTTTAAATAATATCTCCTTGACAATCTAGCTTATTTTGCTGAAATGATTGAAGGAGAAATGGTGCAAGGCAATTTGTCTGGCTTTTCTGAACGGACAGTAAACCCCAGCAAGGGTGGGATGGGGGCACGTGGCTGGAAGCAGCCTGGGGGACAGTCATCTTTTCCGTAAGATCAGCTGGTCCTGGAAGAGAACATCTGCTGGTGACTGTAGGTGCTTAAAATGGGAATTGTTGAGTGCCAATGTACTTTGAAAAATCTGGATTTGATTAATGTTTTGTTTTGCTCTTTGTCCTCAAAGTTGATGACTACTACTGAAAAACAAAACAAAAACAGAGGGCATTTCACTCCCCTCTCCCTGTTCCAGATTGGTAGAATAGCTCTTTGTCTTTAAAGCTGTTCGTAATCCTAAATTCAATAGGTGCTTGCTCCCTCTAAGAGATGTGTACCCTCAGCTTCCATTGAAGTAGTTGAGTGTAGAAGGCACCAGTCCTTTATGCTGGTTTGTTTCACAAATATTTGCCAAGGAGCTGATGAATAATTAAACAGATTTTTCCAAAGAGTTTGAAGAAACCAGATAAAATTTTCTCTGGGAAAGTGAATGCCACTCAGAAAAATGTTAGCTAGATATGTTAAAAGAAATTATTAATACTGAGAAATGGGCAAATGTGTGGGTTTCTACTACTCAGTGGATTCCTGTGGAAATAGCTTTCTATTCTGTTTATGCTTTCAGGCATCAGTCCTGCAAGCACTTATGCATATATTTAAGATTATGCGCACATATGGTCCTGTTGGGATCAATGAGGCTTCTTGTGTCAGTAAAGTTGAGGGTATTGATAAGTGTTTGCAGAATCGGGTCTGTAGTTCACACTTACTAACCTAAAATTCTTAGCTCAGCAGCGTTTCTCATTATATAAACATAACTTACATCTGTATTTATTTAGCTCTAACTTTTTATGTAGGCTATGAGCCATTTTCAGCCATAATTCATGTTATAGAATTTTTTTTCATCCTGCCAACAATCTAATTTAATAAACAAACCACAGTCATAATTTTTGCTGAATTTTTGCTGAATTTTTGTAAAGAATGTACGAACTCTGTCTTTATTAATTAGCAGAAGGCAGAACATTACAAAAGGAAACTTCTCTCTGTTCAACTTTGTAATCTTTCCATTAAGTCTGGTCTTTCCAAAAGACACTCCTATTTATTACTTATATTCCTGCTAAACTAGATGCCATATTTTCTTTTTTTTTCTCCCCACTGCAGTCTTCTCAGTGCATGCTTTTGGTCAAGGCCATACTTACTGTCTCATACATAAATGTTCTTATTCGCATGCATGGTGTAATAGCATCCCATTTTACCACAGCTTTTGTTCCCACTCCTACTACCTGAGGGATTCTGGTAGCAAAAAGAAACAAAAAAAGATAATGCTCTGCTTACATCTCTACACAAACCCTAGTTACTGTGCTAACATTAAAAGTCAACATCTGCAAAATATCTCCATGTGTACATTTTGTGGGAAAGGTGATTTTTCTAATCTACTTTCTCAGGCACCTCTCAAGCAACCTCATAAAGCAACTGCTAATAAATTCTTACTTTTGAATAGCAACCTCCACACTGCAAAATTGCACTCTTCCCAAAGGCTTGATGGAGCCTTTCTTTTTCACCTAAATCCTTCAGTCCAGCTCTCCAGGAATTCTATGCACATTTGAGTCCAAGAGATG